GTGGGGTCACTGTCCCCAGTCTGGGTTCCATCCCCCCCCCGTCACCAAGGACACCCCTGATGCTGCCTGGGTGACCTCCTGGTGAGGTTCTGCGTCCCTGAGGGCCCTCAGAGGCTGAGCTGCTGGTCCCGCGAGCCCCAGGCGGCTGCCCTCCCTGCTGTAACTAGGCTGCCGCAGGGACTTCTCCTTTTAATTTTCAGTCTCTGTATGAATGTCACGTCTGTTTCCCAGGGGCTCGGTGCAGCTCATCCGGGCCCTTTCTGAAAGGGCCATGAGTAATCTGTGTCCTTCCGTAGGTGTCACTGGCAGGTGCATTTTGGTTTTTTGAGGTCAAAGGCTAGAGCTCTGGACCGTGTGAGATTTTCTCTCCAAAATCACTTGTCGGTACTTACCAGAAGGGTCCAGTCCTCTTCGCCGGTGCTGAAGGCAGAGACTTCTTTCCATATCCCTCTTAAGTGGGCATTTAGGGCATGGGGTTTATCCTCAAGGCCTAAGTCCTCCCTGGGGCTCCACGACCAGGCTTGCACAGTGCACAACATGAATGACCTCACTGTTCCACCAAGTGTATTCCTGCACCTGGGCCCCAGGGACCGAGAGACCACCAACCAGCAGCACTTGGGACAGTGGGCGGGGTGCCGTCCAGCCAGGCCGCAGGCTGTGTTGATTTAATAACAGACTGCCAGGGTGTGTTTCTATTGCAAAATCCTGGGTTGCAACCATGGCTTTGTCAGGCAGGAGGCAGAGGGGAGACTGTTTGATCTTCAGGTGAAAGAGGCTTTATGTAGGTCACTTTGTTCCACATCCTCAACCTCAGGTTTCCAACCTGGGCCAAAACAATGGCTCCACTGTTGTGGGGTCTGGTGCGCTGAGGTGGGTCCAAGCCCTGGGAGGTGGGTGTGCGTCCAGCCATCGGTCCTGGTCACCTTGGCGACATCCCCAAGAGGGACACCAACGACAGAACGGAAAGGGTATTGCAGCAGAGGTGGCCATGGCCAAGCAAAAGGCACACTGGGGGCAGGTGAGGCACAGGGGGTGTGGCTGCCACTGAGGAGCGTCCTGCCCCTCCAGGCTTCCCCGGGGTCCTCATCCTGCCTCGGGTTGCTGTGCGAGGCCAAGGTGCGGCTGCCTCAGGGGCTGTGAGACAGCACGGGGCTCTGGCAAGTGATGGGTTCGCGATTTAAAAAACGGTGCCACTGGGAGACTTAGAAACAATCATTATGCAATGACGTCCCGTTTGGGCTGTGCAGAGCTTCACTCTGCCCGCCGTGGGCTGGGGACATGGTCTCTGTGGGTAACAGGACACCACATGTGACATCGGCCCTGTGCGTGCTTGTTGAATGGCCCGGGCGAAGAGACAGGGATCACTCTGGGAGTAACTGGTTCTGGGTACAATGAGTTCCATGAGTGCTTTTCAGCCTTTGATTCTCAGTGAAAACCACTTTCATGTAATTGTACATGCACTTTAAATATATATTTTTTTCAATTCAAAAAGTGTTCGGAGCAAGCGCATCTCTCCTCCCAGCCTAGCCCCAGGTCCTTCCGCTGTGCAATGCCAGAGCTGGCTTCTGCTCTGTGAATGGTCCTGTGTGTTGATGGCTTTGGGGGACATCCTGCGTGGTATGATACGGACCTCCCGGGCCCTGCCGTGTCCCCTAGGCCTGTGTGGCCATGCTGTGCGCCCTGTGCAGGATGCAGCAGAGCTCATGGCCCAGAGTCCTGAAAGACTGGTGTTGAAGAGGACTGGCTCACAGGGTCGCCCCGCGTCCTTTCTGTTGACCCCAGGACTCTGTGTGCTCTCCCCCTGCACCCTGCACCAAGGCCCTGAAGATGCCCTCTGGACACGGGCTTCGGGATGCCCTCTTCCCAGGGGCCAGGCTGCGGCTGGATTTCTGGTGGGCTCTTGGTGGTCTCCCCTCCTGAGGCAGAGGTAGTGGGGGCCAGGAGCTGCCTCATGACCCAGGGTCTCTGTGTGGCAGTGGTGGGGAGGTGGGGCTCCTCCCGTGGGAGACAGGGCGGCCTGGGGCCAAACCACAGGCTTGGTGTGGTTGAGGGGATGAGGAGGCCCTGCCTGTGCTTTTGATCTTGCTCACTCTGTGCCAAGTGAGTGTAGTCTGTCGTGTGTGTGGGGTGTGTGTGTGTGTGTGTGTGTATGTGAGAGAGAGAGAGAGAGAGAGAAGTCTGTGCTCCCTTACTCGGCCCTACAGTCCAGGAGACTGGAAGCTCCCACCCTGTGCGTGGTGCTCATACTGGGGCCCATCCCCTCCTCATCCCCAGCTGTGTAGGGCAGGCTGGGGCCACTGCTGCGCCAGGCAGCATCAGGGACAGTGGGAAGGAGGAGGGGCTCGGCTGACCCTAACCCTAACCCTGCTCCTCTGGGCACTTTGGCCTTTGCACGGCATCGGACACTGGGACCCATGTGTGACAGCCGGCCGGGTGGCCCTGGGGATGGTGCACAAGATGACTGTTCATTATTTGGGGCTGCCAGAATTCCTGAGGGGTCAGGAAGGGTGCAGGGCAGGAATGTGGTGGCCTAGGGGTGGGCTTGAGGTGGCCATGAGGGGCAGCGGGCAGGGCCTCTGCGGGGGACACAGCAGATAAGTCGGAGTGGCTTTCTGGCAATGGAAAGCTGGCACCAAGGGCGTGAAGCAGGGTCCTGGGCCCAGGTGAGCCTCGATGGCCACTGCTGGCACTGCCTTGGTGTGTGAGGTGTGCACAGGTGCATGTTTGCGTGCTCAGTGTGCGCACGCGTAGGCACATGAGGGACGGGCGGGCAGCTGCCCCTGCTCTCCCTGCGGCCCGGCAGGACGATGCACAGCCACACCCTTCACACTTCTGTGGCTTTTCCCAGGTCGGGACAGGGCTGAGTCCTCTGGCTCTGGGCGTTGGTCATCTACTCGCTCTGTGACCCAGGCCTTGACCCACCACGGCGCCTCTAGGGAAGCCTGGGTGCCTGAATTTGCTTCACACAGTAGCAAGAAATGGGGCTGAGCCCAGAGCCAACTTCCTGCCAGCAGTCTGGTGTCCACCACTAGACTTCCGGTTGGCCCGGTGGTGGCCCCCCATTAGCAGGCGCCGTGCGGGGCCAGCTGTGTCCCCAGCGTAGCCAGTGTGCCGCTTCCCATCCCGAGCTCCACGTCCAGGTGCTTTGGGGGTCCATGGCTTCACACAGAGAACGGTCAGCAGAGCCCACTGCCAGTTTCTCACAGCTTCATTGGGACACGACTGTGCCCATTTATTTATGCGCGGAGTCGGAAGCCTGAAATATTTACGATCTAGCCACTCTGAGAAGTGTGCCGCCCCTGGTCCAGAACGGACTGTGGCCTTGAGCTGACTCCTCCCATCGTATCAGGCACCTGGGTTGTGGCCGAAAGGCACCTGTTGGCCCAGGTATGGGGACCTGGAAGTGTGGTTAACAGAGCTCTCTCTCAGTTCATGGAAACAGTTTAGGGTGGAAAACCAAAACTGCCCGCTGTCCCGGGCCCTCCCTGGGATGTTGTCTCCACGGAGTTTTAGGTGAGCCTGTGACACACAGGTGACACACACATTACAGGTGAGCTCAGGAGAGCTAAGGGCAAAGCTGAGTGGTGAAGCCGTGACTTCCCTGCGCAGGAGGGGCCCGGGGATGAACCCCACCTGCTGTCCTGGGGTGGTGGGGGTGGCCTGGCAGGGTCCCCAGGAGTGGCCCGTATTAAAGATAGTGAATGCACAGCTTCTCTGTTCTTGTACAGAGCAGGGGTGGCTAGGCATGCCCAGCAGGAACGTGACAGGTGACAAGAGAGAAAGCGCATCTAGGGGCCGGGATTTAGCTCAGTGGTTCTGCCACCTGCCTTGCAAGCACACGGTCCTGAGTTTGATCCCCGGTACCAAAAAAGAAAAAAGAAGCATCTTCAACTAGACGTGGTGGTGGTGCTGGTGGTAACAAATGAACCAAGAGCGACCCTCTCGTCATTGTGGCAAGTGACCATCCAGGAGGTGACTCAGGTGGCAGGTGGCTGCAGGTGCCCTTGCGAGGGAGTCACCCCAGGGTGCTGGAGGGGGCACCCCAGCCTTTCCCTAAGCCCATGTTCAGTGGTCCCCAGAGGTCCCTGTGCCTGGCAGCCCACCCTGGCATCTGCTACGTTCTCTGCCTCACCTTTCTCAGGCACCACAGTAGTGACTGTTCCCAGCCCCCTCACGGCCCATCTTATTCCATTATTTACCTAGGAGCCTGCCCTGTCCTGAAGATCCCGTCCTGTAGGCCCAGCAGCCAAGTCTCCCTTCCGGAGGCCAAGGAAGCAGAAAGAACCCTTGCTCTGAGTGGAGCCCAGGAGCCCAAAGCGGGTGGCATCTCCTTTCTCCAAGGCTGGACTCCAGGGCAGGGCGAGTGCCCATGGGTCATCTTGGTGTCGACCAAGAGCACGTGGATGGGCAGAGAGCCCCTGTGCCCATTTGTATCAGGACTCCATCCTAGGTGGGGCAAGGACCTGCAGAGCAGTTGCTGTACACTTAGGGCACCCAGGAGGCTCGTGGGCCCTTCCCTACAAGGGCACACACTGACTCCCAAGATGAGCTTCTATAGTGGTTCCGCCCCAACAATGAATTGACAATGTGATGATCCAAGGGGCTGTGCTGGAAAAGGGGGCTGGGCCAGACTCTCAGGGCTCCGCCCCGCCCGCTGTGCAGCCTCGCCCGCTGTGCTGCCTGGCCAGTGGTAGGTGCTTGCTTCACCTTGACAGAGAAGGTGCCCATGCATCCTGGCTGACGCCAGCTTCTGTGCCACCTTGGCCTTCTGCCCTGTGTAATCCTGACTGGGTACCTGTAGGCATCTGCTGAGCACCCCCGGCTGACCAGGCATACTGAGAGTGACGGGGGTGACAGTGACAGTGTGGCCTTGGAGATGGGGCGTCTCATCCTGCACCAGGACCCCAGGCTTCCTGGACCTCTCTGGGCTCCTGGCTGACTCTGTGTCTTCTCATCCTGTAGCCCTGCTCACTGACCTCCTGCTTCTCTCTCCCCACCAGGCACACAGGGCGCTCCTGGATGTGCAGAGTTCTCCTCACAAGCTTCCCAGGAATCCCATCTACCCTGAGGTTGATGAGTTTGCCTTGGGAGTCCTCGAGCAGGTGAAACCAGAGGCCGCCATGGGTCAGAAGGTCACTGGAGGGATCAAGACTGTGGACATGCGGGACCCCACCTACCAGCCCCTGAAGCAAGAGCTCCAGGGCCTGGATTACTGCAAGCCCACACGGCTGGACCTGCTGCTGGACATGCCGCCGGTGTCCTACGACATCCAGCTGTTGCACTCTTGGAACAACAATGACCGCTCGCTCAACGTTTTCGTCAAGGAGGACGACAAGCTGATCTTTCACCGGCATCCGGTGGCTCAGAGCACAGACGCCATCCGGGGCAAAGTCGGGTACACAAGGGGGCTGCACGTGTGGCAGATCACGTGGGCCATGCGACAGCGGGGCACACACGCCGTGGTGGGCGTGGCCACGGCAGACGCCCCACTGCACTCTGTTGGGTACACGACCCTCGTGGGGAATAACCACGAGTCCTGGGGCTGGGACTTGGGACGCAACCGGCTGTACCACGACGGCAAGAACCAGCCGAGCAAAACATACCCGGCCTTTCTGGAGCCAGATGAGACATTCATCGTCCCCGACTCTTTCCTCGTGGCCTTGGACATGGATGACGGGACCCTGAGCTTCATTGTGAACGGACAGTATATGGGAGTGGCTTTTCGGGGACTCAAGGGCAAAAAACTGTATCCTGTAGTGAGTGCCGTCTGGGGCCACTGTGAGATCCGCATGCGCTACTTGAATGGACTTGATCGTAAGTTACCGCACGTCCGAGGCTGTGCCCTTCCTAAGTCCCCATGGTCCTGGCTGGGCTCGGGTCAAAGGTTTATGCGGTTGTGATTCTTTTCAGAGACAGGGTCTTGCTGTATGGTTTAGTCTGGTTTTGGACTCACTGTGCAGCCTTGGCTTTGAATTTTCAGTGATCTTCCTGAGTGCTGGGATGACAGGCACGCACCGCTACACCCAGCTTTGAAAGTGTCGTAGATTGCCTAGCAGTGCCTTGTGGATGAATGGGTGGGTGCATGATGGATGGAAAGATGGATGGATGGATGGATGATGGGTGAATGGGGGGGTGGATGATGAATAGATAAATGATGGATGGATGGATGGATGGAGGGGTGAATAGCTGAGTGCTCCTTGTCTCTGATAAACCACCTTCCCCGCTGGGCCTGCAATTGACCAAATTCTAGCACAGTAGCCAATCTGTTATTAAGCTGAGGTTTGCAGCCTGGGGCCTCTCAGATAAATGAAAAACAGAGACCGCTCACCTTCACTAGACAGATTTGGGGTCTTTGTCCTGGCGGCAGAGGCTCCTTTGGAACATGGTCCGAAATGGGGCTGTTCAGTCCTGATGTCAGGAGACGGTGGGGGAAGGAGCCAGTGGCTGAGAACCAGGGTGCATCTGCCGTGATCTCCGTGTGTGCCTTGGAGCAGCCCTTCTCACCCCCCATGTGCCCACAGCTCCTGTGTGCTGCTCTGTGCTGATGGCTGGAGGCTCCGTTGTGCCCAGCCTGGGGCCTGGTATTTGGAGAATGCCCACCCCTTGATGGGCCCTCCCTCTGGGGGCTTCTGCCTGTGTGCGTCCCTTCCCCATCTGCAGATTCCATCAGAAAGGGGGTATCCAGGAAGCTTTGTCCACCTGTGAGCTGACTGTCTTTAAGGACAGGCCTGGCCTGGCACCTCGAGTCCTAACCCTAAGCCGCAGGCCAGGCAAGTGGTAGGCAAGGCCCCTGCTGGGGCCAGAGCACAGCTGTCTTGAAGTCTCCAAATCTGCTGGTCTTCCTCCTCCTCTTCCTCCTCTTCCTCCTCCTCCTCCTCCTCCTCTTCCTCCTCCCAGTGTCCGCCTTTGGAAGATCCTGGAGCACGTGGGTGTACAGAAAATATTAAGCCTGTGTCTTTGGAAGCCTCCCCTCTCCTTTCTCCCAGTCCTGAACTCTGACTTTGCACTGGTCACAGTGCTCCCGGCAGAGGTGGCACAGCCATGTTTGCCCCAGAGGGGATGGATACGGTGGAATTCAGGACCTTGGCCAGCCCTGGGTCCAGTGTGTCCCCCTCCTTCCACCAGAGCAGTGCTGGAACCAGGGAAGCAAAGGCAGGTGAGGGGACCGTCCTCACCTGGCCACCACGGGAGGCTGTGGGTCCCTAAGGGAACTCATGAGCTGTGGGAGTTCACACAGCCACTCTGTTCCTGTGTCCTAGCTCCTGGGAGGGATCTGGGCCTGTTTGCCCTTGGTGAGCCAGCAGGTTCTGCTGTTGCATCCTGAGGCCCAGACACACGTCCTGTGAACGGGTGACACTCTGCTTGACTCTGAGTCTGAGGGGAGGTTGGAAGCTTTTGTGACTTTTCTTGTTTGTAAAATCCTAAGGGGTTGGGAGGCTAGGAAAGAGGGTGGGAATAGTTTGTTGGGAACCACATCTGTGAGCTGGAATCTGGATGAAGACTCCAAAGCGTCACATCATGCTGGGCATGGCGGTGCACACCTGTAATCCCAGCACTTGGGAGGGTGAGGCAGGAGGATCACTGCAAGTTCAAGACCAGCCTGGGCTACATAGTGAGTTCCAGGTCAGTCTCAACTACACAGTGAGACGCTGTCTCAAAAAAAAAAAAAAAAATCAAAGTGTCACATCAGGACATTGTCAAGGACAAGGACCCCTTTCCCCTCCGCCCAAATGAGAACATCAGGCCACGCCAGGGCCGCTTCATCTCGTCTTCCCCAGCCCCGTTCAGGCATGGCCGACTCTGGAGGATCCAGATGGCAGCCTGGGTGCAGTCAGTCCCTGGGACGCCAAGTGTGGCAATGTTGTCCTCTGCCCAGGGCGGGTGAGATGCCGTGTGCTGGACACCTCAGGGGCTTGAGTGAGGGGGTGGCCTGTGTCCTAGAAGGGTCTCCTGGCTGCTCACAGGCACAGTAGGGGTGAGAGTGGCCACCATGACAGTTGCTGGTGAAGTGAGAAAGGGGCGCGTCCTGTGGCACCGGGTGTCGTCCTGTGTCGGTGGGGGTGGGCTGTCCTCACAACAGGGTGGCATTTAAAGCTGTGCCCCTGGATGAGGTCACCAGAGAGTGGGCCAGGCCCTGCTGGAGGTCAGAGGCCTGGGGACGGGGCAGAGGAGAAGCAGCCAATGTAGCTGGAAGGGCCCCAGGGCATGGTGGCTGACTGGAGAAAGAGCTTCAAGAAAGACAAAGTAATGACAGCTCAGGTTCATCGACAGCTGCTCTGGCTACCAGAAGGTCATCGGTGACCTCAGTGGGAGTCACTGGGTGGGGTGGGGTCACAGCGTGGTGGAGGAAGCAGGCGGTGGTCATTCATTTCCTGGGGCTGCCGTAACAAATTACTGCGATCTGGGCCCAGCCGATTGACCCAGCAGAACGCATGCTGTCACTGCCAAGGGGCCAGATGTCCGAACCCACACTGTCAGCAGGCCAGGCTCTCTCCGAGGCGCTGTGGGAGAATCCCCTCCCTGCCTCTGTCCCCACCTGGCCTGCTCCTTGGGGCATCTAGGAAACCACTCTGGTCCTACTGACCTCCTCAGGGCACCCTGGCTTGGGCACCCTCCCCGGGCTCTCCCTGGCACTGTGAATCACCCTGGCAGAGTCCTTCCCCTGTGCTGGGCCAAGCAAAGCCCCGAGTTCCCAGTGTCCCTGTGTGACCTCCCTGCTGTCCAGCCTATGCTGACCACAGGCCACTTGCCTCTGTGCTGAGACTGTAGCCCCTCGCTGTCTTTCGGGGAGCAGAGAGACAGGGCCTGGAGATGCAGGAGGAAGAGGCCTCTGCCCTGGGGACATCCCTGACCTCAAGGTCCTCCCCACCGAGCCCCCACTGCTTCCCACTGAGGGAGCGTTTCCCCTGCCATCCTGGACTTAAAGATTCTCCTTTGCATCTAGCAGCAAAGTGTGGCAAGGGTTGCCATGGGCTTCAGGGAAGGCACGGAGCCTTTGACTCCCAAGATGCTGGCCTGGGTGCGGAAGGCATTTCCAGGTTCCTGAAGGTACTGCTTACCCAGACAGGGAGGCCCTGGGTTCAGGTCCTGGCTCCATTTCCTCCATCGGGGCAGCCGTGGACCAGTTGTTTAAACTCTGTCACATTCCGCTTTTGTAACTGGGGACAGTGATGGTTGTGGCTTCTCTGCGACGGTCTTCCATCACTCATAACTGTGGTCCGAGTTGGCACACGGCTGCTGGAGGAGTCCGCCAGAGCAGCTTCTCTGGGTTATTTAGTCAGGATTAAAGTCAAATTCGCTAAGTATTTATTTATTACTCCCTATGAAGCCAGGCACGGTGGCACATGCCTGCAATCCCAGCACTTTATACATTAAAGTGTTTAATAGAACATATAGAGCAGCTGAGGCAGGAAGATCACAAGTTGGAGCCCAGCCTAGACAACTTAACTTAGCAATGTAGCCAGACCCTATCTTAGGTTAAAAAGTAAAAGGACTGGGGATGTAGCTCAGCGTGAAGCCCTGGGTTCCATCTGAGGCCCTGGAAGAGGAAACCAGGGCGGTGCCCTGTAGCCCTGTGCGCCTTAGTGCCTTAGCGGCGCCGCACTGACGTGAGTTCTGTCCTCTGCTTTCCCAGCCGAGCCCCTGCCACTCATGGATC